CTAGCATAGTGTCTCTTACACATGGTAGGCATGAAAATATTGGATGGAGGAATGGATCGATGGAGAGATGAAACTATTCTTATCCTTTTACTTGCTAATTTACCATGGAATTACTCCAAAAGAATAGTATTTTGTACAAATTAATTGCAAAGCTATTTATAATAGTGAAAAAATGGAACATCACAAATGCCAACAACAGGAGAACACCTCAGTCAGGGATGCTATACTCATCGTGGACTCTGTTTAAATAAGAACACAGTTTTTTTAGGGAATGAGATTTACTCTATGTGTCTGGGGAAAATGGCAGAATAGGAGAGTCCAATTCAAGGCTGTTCACTGTCTGGTGGACATTTGTCAATTATTTTGGTGAAGTGGAAGACAGGAAATCACTCAGCCCCAACATGCCATAGAGAAAAACTTCCTGGCTATTGAGAGCAGGAAGAGGAAGTGAAGAAGCTAGATGCCGCTTTTGTAATGAAAACCAATAAAAGGGATCAAAATTGAAGTTTTCCTTACATTCTTGGTCAAGAGGTGTTGAGAGCTTTTGACTCTTCTTCTGGCTGGACTGGACACTGCAAAGAGAGAAAGAAATGGTTTTAGAGAACACGGGTGAGGCTGATGTAGCCTCAGAGAGGGTTTGCACCTGGAGTGGGAGGGGCGAGGAGGAGGGGAAGTGGGGAGAATAGGCAGGGTGTAATTACAATTTTAGATGTTACTGGCTGAGTGCACCAAAGTTCATAACAGCATTGTTCACAATAGCCAAAAGGTGGAAACAACCCAAGTGTCCCCTAACAGATGAGTGGATAAACAGAATGTGGTATATGCACACAATGGAATATTATTCAGCCTTAAAAAGAAATAAAATTCTGATACATGCGGTAACATGGATGAACCTTGAAAACATTAAACTAAGTGAAATAAGCTGGACACAAAAGAACAAATATTGTATTAGTCCACTTAGATACCTAGAGTATTAAACTCAGAGACAGGAAGTAGAGCAGAGAATAATCTCTTCATTATGCCACGACAGATTTATTTCTTCATGTTGATAATGATGATGTAATCATAATAATGATAGTTGGCATTTATTGTCGGGAGTATTTCTCCTTACATTTGAAGGGAAGAAGGGAATGCGGAGTTGTTATTTAACAGGTATAGAGTTTCAGTTAGGGATGATGAAAGTTCTGGAAATGGATAATGGTGATGTCTGCACAACAATGTGAATGGACCTCATGCCACAGAGCTGTACACTTAAAAAATGCTTAAATGGTAAATTTTATATCATGCATGTTTTACTACAGTAAAAAGCTTTAAAAATCAATTAAGCATTAAAAAATGTTGGTTGGAAGAAGGTGTGTATTTTGTTGAAAATGGAGATACTCAGGCATCTCTTTTCCATACTGCCGCTAAAATGATTTACTCGGAACTGAAATCCCACCATGTTACTGCCCTGCCTAGAACTGAGATGACTCCTTGTCACATATCAGATAAGTGATCAGATGAGTGCTGGGTGATGGTATTTTCTGCAGAGCACCTACAGCCGTGAAACCTGTTGTCCAGTACACTAGTTAGGAGGATTCCTGACTCCCTTCACTTGAGTGTGAATCAGAACTGGACCACTTGCCGCTTATGTGACTTGGGCAAATATCTCATCCTCTCCACACCTTCCTCTCCTCGTCTGTAAGACAGGGGGGAATAATAGCACTCACCTCAGAGGGCTGGGACAAGGATGAAATGAACTAATTTTTATAAAGCCCTTAGTCCAGTGCCTGGCACAGAGTAGGTTCCCAGGAATCAATGGTGGTTATTATGATTGTCCTCCATCCCTGCAAGCTGAAGGCAGGTGGAAAGAATAGGTGATGACTTCTAGATCCTATAACATTCCATTAGGATTTCTCTTTCTGGGGTTTTCTCCATTTCCTACTGCTGTTCCCTGATTCTTCTCCCCAACCCCTCCCCATTGTTGTTTATAACTCAAGAGAATTATTTTGAACGCCGTGGTGCTGTTCACTCTAGAATTAAACCCCCTCTGGTGTGTCTCAGGAAATAACTTCTGGTATAACTTCTTGGTAAAACCACAGCTTTTACTTTTTGTATTTACTGTGAATTGTGTCTATGAATTTTTTTTCCCTTAAAGGGCTCTCTTTCTCTCCAGAAAGTAAAAATCCACACTTGTCCTCAGCTATAGACTTGGTATCTATGTCCCATGCCTTTAAAATACTTAAGTAACAGTCTAACACTTGTTGCTGCCATATTTTTGTGAGACATTAAGATGGCTCAGCTAAAAAATACATACAAATATTAAGTTGAACCCAGTTATGTATGTATGGGTGTGTTGGAAAGAAGGATATAATACAACAGTAGAAAGGTAATAATAGCTCACATTGAGCTTCACCAGGTGATGGCTTATTTGGTTTATCTCATTCACTCCTCGTAGCAACTCTGTGAGCCAGGTACTCTGCATTATCCCTATTTTATTGGGGATACTGAAGTTAGGGGTCCCACAGTTGATGGTGGAACAAGGCCCTATCCTCTTAACCATTGGCCACACTGCCCTTGCTGCTGAACCTGTGCTCAGAAAATGTCTTGGCTATTTCTGTCATGCTAAACGGTAGCATTGGGAAAAGGGCATCCCAGGGAGAACTATAACCCTGTTAGATAAAATGAAGCCACCTTCTATTTCTGTAGGTAAGGAATGTGGGGATGTATTGAAGAGTTACCCATTTCTCTTATAAGCAGTGACTTAAGAAAAGCTAGCACTGTCTTCTCTCACTGAGAGCCCTCTGCTTGATAGCTTTGGAGAAAGCAAGATGAGGCAAAAAAGGAAGTGGGAGGAAGTGAAATTCTTCCATTCACGGTCTAAGGTAAGAATGCGAATACTCCTTTTCTAGAGAACAACTTCCTGAGCAGTGAAATGTCCATGAATACCAGTGAATACTTGGTTTATGACCAGGAGATGGCCATGAATGAAAATGGCAAGAAAGAAATACAGGATTCAATATTTATCTTTGAACATAGTCATTGCTCTAAATATGTAATAAAAATAGACATCATTTTGTAAGTGTTGTATTTAATGGTGCTTACTACATGCTGGATACTGTTCTAGATGCTTTATATGTTTTTTTTTTAAGATTTTATTTATTTATTTGACAGAGACACAGCAAGAGAGGGAACACAAGCAGGGGGAGCGGGAGAGCAGGAAGGACCCTGGGATCATGACCTGAGCCAAAGGCAGACGCTTAACAACTGAGCCACCCAGGCGCCCCAAGATGCTTTATATGTTTTATCTGTATTTCAATTTCCCCCCCATAATAACCCTGGGCGGTAAAGTCGAGCTCTCCCTTTTACAAAAGTAGAAACTCTGGCCCAGAGAGATGAAGTAGCCTGCCCAAAGTCACACAGTGTAGAAGTGACCACAGTCTCTTGGCCACTGTGCTAAGCAAATGGAGCCAAAGGTCCTGTTTCAAATGCTTTTATTCAGGTGAAGTGTGACATTGCTCCTGAATTGTTGAATAAGTTTTTAATTAAAAAGGGCTATTCAGCTTTGATTGGTTTCTTCCTCTAAAAATTGTTAAATGGAAAGAAATAACAGGAAACAGACAAAATTTAACATTTTCATATTTGCTTCCAATTTTTTTTCTCATGTAAAAGAAATAAAAAACTAGACAAGTTTAGATTCCCTTTCTACTCTCCCCTTATCCTTCTTCCACTCCTCCCGAGGGCCAGTAAGATCACTAATTTTTTCTGTATCTTTCCAGCCTGTTTTCATACTCTTTCTGAATATGTATCCGTAAGTTGTTTTGTATTGCCAGATATAGTAATTGTTATCATACATATAAAATTTTCAGCCAGCCTTTTCTATTTTTTTCCACTCAACATTATGCTTTTGAGATCTGTATCCATACACACAGATCTAGTTCATCCCTGTTGACAACTGTGGAATATTCCATAGTACGATGACACCGCATTTTACCCCCTCCCCTCCTCAAGGACATTGAAGCTATTTTCAATCTTGCCCTCCTAGAATCAATGCCCCTGTGAACATCTGTGAGTAAGAGTATCCAGAAGTGGAAGTGCTGGGTCAGAGGGTCAGCTTTGACTTTCCAGGTACTTCCAGAGTCTCCAGACAGAGTTCCAACTCCTGCACGTGGGCAGACTTCTCGCTCTTTTCTCTCTCTATGTGGCAATGGATGTCAAAAGCTTTATTTATGTTCTGCTGGCTGTCTCTTTGTGACCAGGCTGAGTCTCTCCCTCCCCCCACCCCCCAGCAGTGGCCCTGTCAGTGGCTGACACGGGAAGAAGAAAGGGATTGTTTGAACAGGGGGTCACAACACCAGCAAACATCCAGCCCCTTCATTCAAGTCTGACAATGAGACCAGGGCTAAGCCAGAGTCCCAGGCTCTGCCAGCAAGGCAGGGGCCGCGGGGAAAGAACAGAGGGAGCAGGAGAGAGGGTTGAGCTTTGGAGGGGGTGAGGGAACTGTCCAGTAACCAGACACCTGCTGTCCGCTGAGCTCAAACACAAAGCCCTCTCTGGGACTTGACACCATTCACCCCGAGCACAAGAGCTGACAGAGTCACACGTTTTGGTGACGCTAGTTCCAGGTGAAGTTTGGGAGCGGGGCCCTGGGATCTGTGTTAGAGGCCAGCCCTGGGTCAGGGCATTATTCGACCACTTTATTAGACTTCAGGCCATTGCCGGGAGTATTTCTCCTTCACATTTGATGGCATAGTTAGAAATCATACTTTTGAGCCAGCTGGTTCTCATTTCAGAGCCCACCTGCTCATTGGAGAAGAAGAAAGAATCTTTCTAGCTGCCCTGGGAATTTTGTTTTCATCTCTGTTTCCCAAAACAATGGCTTGCTGTCACTTTCATTCGCCTATTGGGTTACCAGTACTGAACTAAGTGGAACTGGGAGCATTTAACTGCCCTCATTCCCCCCACCCCTTTGATGGATTGTTTCTCAATGACTGATGTTTATCCATGTACCTCCTTTTCAGAAACAACAACAATAACAAATACCATCACAACAGTGAGCCCATCAACCCCTCTGAGAGACCTGAGGATAAGCCATAGTAAAACAGCACGTGATTATCCTTAACCTCTGGCAGAAGGTGCCGCGGTGAGGAAACCGTCAAGGGCAATTTTACTCACCCTTGGAAGGGATCACGGTGGTGAAAACTTCTATATTTTCATCACTGCAGCTGTAAATCTGATGCATCGTTTCAGGCTTCTCTCCCCCAAAGTGCCGGGAACCGGAAGCCTCTCTCTGAACCCCTAGTCGCGAGGTTTCCTAATCCAGTCTGGCTCGGGGATCATTGTGCAGGTCTACAAAAGACAGGCTGGTGCTGTGATCTCATCTCATTCCAGAGTCTTCACTGCAACATTTTCTAATCCCATCTGTCTTTTTTTTTTTTTTTTTTATGAATCCTATTATTGTAAACCTTTGATTGAGCGTGGAGGCTTCAGTCCCCTCCCAGCCAGGACGTATTTAACATTTTTATTTTGCCGTGTCTGCCGCAGTGATTTTGGAAGTCTTTTGTGAAGTAACGATGAAGTGAAATCGCCGACTCTGTTAGCGCCAAGCTTGGCTGGAGAATTTCACCGAAAAGGAAAGAAACGTGGTTTTTGCTACCAGCAATTACCCTTTTCATTTCAGAAAGGAAGGGGGCTTTTTTCTTTTTTTCCTCCAGAAGAAGTGGATATTCAGTAATTTGTCGTGTGTTAATTTGGCATCCTTCTAAGTTTCTATTTTAAACAAAAGGACTGTTTCTCTGGAGCGTTTTCCCCTCATGCCAGTACATGACAAGGCTGACATTTCTGGAGAGCGGTCTATTTAGCATCTTCTTGTACAACCCTTCAGGTGCTTGCAGAGACATGGTAACAAGCAGTGTCTTGACACCCAAGGTGGCACAGGAAGATTAGATTTACAAGAAGATTGTATTTTTATTACCCTAAATATCCTAATATATATTATCCTATATATTCTGTTATCCTATATTTATGTAGAATAATACATATCCTATATTTTGTCTTATATATTCTATGTATACACACAGAAATAAGGTATGTCTGAAATGTATGTGTATTGTGTCAAACCCACCGTCTTTCATTACGCCACGACAGATTTATTTCTTCGTGTTGATAATGATGATGTAATCATAATAATGATAGTTGGCATTTATTAAATGCTTGCTAAGAGCTAGGAAGCGTGATGTATAATCTCATTTAATGTCTACAACCACCCAACGAGACTAGCCATTATTTTTGCCATTTTATAGGTGAGGAAACTGAGGCCTGAAGAGACTGAGTAATTTGCCCAAGATTAAAATACCTAGTTTCATGGCAGAACTAGGATTTAATCCCTAATTTGATTCCAAAATCAATGTACTTAATCATTAAATTATACTCCATTCTTTACTTCCAAAGCCTTGCCCCCTACTTTTTTTTTATGATGTTATGTTAGTCACCATACATTACATCATTAGTTTTTTTTTTTAAAGATTTTATTTATTTATTTGACAGAGAGAGACACAGCGAGAAAGGGAACACAAGCAGGGGGAGCGGGAGAGGGAGAAGCAGGCTTCCCGCTGAGCGGGGAGCCCGATGCGGGGCTCGATCCCAGGACCCTGGGATCATGTCCTGAGCCGAAGGCAGACGCTTAATGCCTGAGCCACCCAGGCGCCCCTACATCATTAGTTTTTGATGTAGTGTTCCATGATTCATTGTTTGCGTATAACACCCAGCCCTCCATTCAATATGTACGTGCCCTCTTTAATACCCATCACCAGGCTAACCCATCCCCCCACCCCCCTCCCCTCTAGAACCCTCAGTTTGTTTCTCAGTCCATAGTCTCTCATGGTTCGTCTCCCCCTCCGATTTCCCCCCCTTCATTCTTCCCCTCCTGCTATCTTCTTCTTTTTTTTTTTTTTTGGACATATAATGTATTATTTGTTTCAGAGGTGCAGATCTGTGATTCAACAGTCTTGCCCCCTACTTTGAACCTGGGGGTTCAAAGCCCATCTTAGACTTGGACTTGGTATCCACTGCTCTTTCTATAGTAGACAAATTTGGGGCATTTATTCATCAGTTAGTTAGTTGTCAGTATTACACTTATGTCTCAGAATTGCACCTAGCCACAGAGGATGGCTCTGGGGAGCCATGCTTATTCTCTCTGAATTTGTCCCCTGGACCACATTTGACTGGACCAAGGTAGACACAACCCAAACTGCTGCCTCCTGGGAACAGAATTTGGGCCTTAGGCTGGGGCCAGAGGGAAGGTATAAACTCTAAATATCTAGGTGGTTCTCAGGGTCAATGGGGGTGAAATTGAGGGGAAGCCAGTGGAAATAAATGGAACTGATGGTCTGGACAGGGCCTGAGGCCTGAATGCAAATCCAGGGTAAAGAGTTTTAGCTGGAGGAGGGGAGCAAGTACTTTCACCTTGATGCATACTTGGTTGGTCTGTGGTTACCTATACAGGTGGGTGAGAACCAGTGCAAGGGATGGGGGTTGGGGGGGTCAGCGAAGTATTGGAAAAGTGAGGGATGAGTGTGGAGAATTGAGAAAGAGCACAAAGAGGCAGAGATAAGGGAGGGACTGAAAAATGGTTCAATTTGATAGTTTCCAATGAGATGCCTAGGTCTCTATCTGATAAGTTTCCTTTCTGATTAAGTAGGTTTTGGTCATTTTCAGGTAAAAAGACATGTCTATAAATTTTATAACCTCCACAGTGATTACATTTTTAAATAATAGAAAATTTAGAGGAATATCTAAATAGCAAGCAAGATCCAAAATTATGTTAACACACTGTAGGTAACTGCAGTCCTACTGAGCACTGTTCAGGAAAACCAAGACCCCGTTCTGTCCTTCACTTTAAAAACAAAAACAAAAACAAAAAACAGACTAAGTAATAAAACATACATGGAATTTAATAAAACTAAATGTAAACATTAATCTTTAATTAAAAAATTATACAGAATTGGGGTGACCCGGTTTAGCAGCATTTTATTAAAAAGAAACCTGGAGTTTTGGTTAACCACAGGCTTAATAAGAGGTAATAGTAAAGAGTAGGGGCTAAAAGACACATAGTTTCAAAGACCTGATACTAAATTAAAATTAAGAATCTTCTAGGGTAGGGGAGCCTGGGTGGCTCAGTCATTAAGCGTCTGCTTTCAGCTCAGGTCATGGTCCCAGGGTCCTGGGATCGAGCCCCGCATGCAGGTCTCACTGCTCAGCGAGAAGCCTGCTTCTCCCTCTCCCGCTCCCCCTGCTTGTGTTCCCTCTCTCGCTGTGTCTCTCTCTGTCAAATAAATAAATAAATAAAATCTTTAAAAAAAAAAAAAAGAACCTTCTAGGGTACCCAGAAGCCAATCAGGGTCACCTGGATTTAATCTCAAGGAATCCTGGCTGGATTAGGTTTTTTCTAAGACAGCCCAAACTTAGTCAATTATAGTATATTGTATTATGCTTAATGAATAAGCCTGAAACACAGAACTAAATAAGCTAATGTAACGAAACACACTCAGAGAAAAACAATTCTTAAGAAATCATTTTTACCTGTTGCAAATATTTTTGAAGTAATAAGAATAATACATGCTTATTTTAACACATTCAAAAATTATAGATGGGTATACAAAAAAAGTGAAATCTACTTCCCCTATTCTAGCCCCACTTCCTAAAAGCAATCATTGTTTACAGATTGGTGGTGCATTTCCAGATTTGTTTATGCTTATTTATATATATGAGCATATATATAAATATATATATAAATAATTTAAAAAATAGAAGTGGAGTCCTACTACACATACACATACATATGCATGCATGTACTCATTCATGTGTGAACATTTATAGTTCCCATTTTTAAAATAAACGTGCAGAAGACTACTGCACTGTAAGAATTTGTCCACTCCTTTTTTAAAAAAGATTTTATTTATTTGAGAAAGAGAGTGCTCATGGGGAGGGGGAGGGTCAGAGGGAGACGCAGACTCCCCGCTGAGCAGGGGCTAAACTTGCCTTGGGGCTTGATCCCAGGAGCCTGGGATCATGACCTGAGCCCAAGGCAGACACTTAGTGGACTGAACCACCCAGGTGCCCCTGTCTACTTTCTTGATAGACCGATAGCTTATTTCCATTTTTAAAAATTAAAAACAATGCTGCAAAGAACATCCTTATATATGTATCCTTATACATGTCTTCTAACTTTTTTGTAGGCTACGTTTCTAGTTGTGAGTGGGTCATAGCATAAGGGTGTTTAAAATTTTGAGGGACCACATTGCCTTCCAAAAATTCTGCATCCCTTGACACTCTCACTAATAGGATATGAGGGGCTTATTCCCCACACCCTAGGCAATACTTATTATCAAATTTTTTTTGCCAAAATTATACTGTTTGGCTTTTGGGCTCTGAGCCAAGAATCTTGATCATATTAGATAGTTACGGGGCTCCTTGCCCAGAGATCTTACAATCCATGAAGGGGAGGATGGCTGAGACCTCATTTTGGAATATAAACTCTATAATCTGTACGCAACAGTTGAATACACACCACACCTGTGAGTCCTGGTGGCCGCCCCTGCCAGGGCAAGCCGAAGCCTAAGTCAGGCAGTCTGTCCTGGTCCAGACCAGGTTCCTCTTCTCTCAGGTTCTGGGAAGTCAGGGGTGAGGACTCTACACCGTTGGCATGTGCATGCCCACTTACTTTCAGTTTTAAAATTCTGTTTCTACCCTGTCTCAAAGGGCAGGCATATCATGTCAATGGAAGACTATTTATTTACTGCAAGCTTGGCTACCTATCTGCCTGGCTAATGGGGAGGGCTGAGTGGTGCTGCCTGTGTTTCTCCAACCTCAGAGTTCTACCCTCACAGAGATGCTAGCAAGTTTCATTTCTGTTGAATCCTAAGCAATGCTTCTCAGTCTTTAATGTGATAGGAATTAGGGCCTTGTTAAAATGCAGATTCTGATTGCATGGCTCTGAGGTGGGGCCTGAGAAACTGAGTTTCTAGGGGGCCCCCTTGAAACCCTGGTTGTTGGCGCCAGGGCACACTTCGGAATTAGAAAAAAAAGTTCATTTTAGGAGAGAAGACGTTCCTGACCCAGAGGCACTAGCATTATGAAGAGCTCAGGTCCCTCACCAGACTGTTTAAATATGATTCTCCAGGGCCAAGGCATAGGTATTTAAAAACACCCCTGATGATGATAATATGTGGCTAGGGCTTGGATGGAGCGAGGTGGTTCTCAGATTGTCTTCAGGGGCGGGCGGGGGAACAGGGAATGTGTTAGACATGCAAATTCTCAGGCCCACCCTGCCTCCTAAATCAGAAACTTTCAGAGAGAGCGCAGCAATCCTTGTTTTAACAAGCTCTCCAGGGCCTCTGACCTTCGCTAAGGTTTGAGAACCACTCTTGACAGAGCCATCCTCCAAGATTTAGACTCATGGTTTTTTTTTTTTTAAGATTTTTTTAAATTTATTTTTTTCTTATGTTATATTAATCACCATACATTACATCACTAGTTTTTGATGTAGTGTTCCCTGATTCATTGCATATAACACCCAGTGCTCCATGCAAAGGTGCCCTCCTTAATACCCATCACCGGGCTAACCCACCCCCCCCACCCGCCTCCCCTCTAGAACCCTGTTTCTCAGAGTCTATAGTCTCTCATGGTTCGTCTCTCCCTCCGATTTCCTCCCCTTCGTTTTTCCCTTCCTGCTATCTTCTTCTTTTTTTTTTTTTAACATATAATGTATTATTTGTTTCAGAGGTACAGGTCTGTGATTCAACAGTCTTACACAATTCACAGCGCTCACCATAGCACATACCCTCCCCAATGTCTATCATTCAGCCACCCCAACCCTCCCAGCCCCACCACTCCAGCAACCCTCAGTTTGTCATGGTTCTTAACCCTGATTGTGCATCAGACCTGCTAAGTAAGCAGCCTGATAAAGCCTGGGCTGCACCCCCATTTTTTTCTGATTCCAAAGATCTGGAGAGGTTCCTGGGAGTGTGTGGCTTTAAAAGCATCTGGGGAATGTGGATTTAGTGGCTGAGCAGAGGGGTGGTAGCCCTTCAACATAGAATGGTGGTCTATGGCCCCTGGCTTGTGCGGTACAGCGTTCGCCCCTTCGTCCCACATTAATCAAACCCCATCATGTGCCAACACTATGTCGAAGATATCACTGGGGAACACCTATTAGGTACCAG